CCTCCTCTCCCTCCTTCAACACCACCTCCCGACGCACACCAGCGTCCCCCCACGCCATCCCAATCAGCTCGGCAAAAGTGTCCCGCAGCTCGTCGTGGCGACGAATCACCAGGCCGTACCGCTTGCAGCACAGCGCATGGTCGACGGTGAGGGGCTGGTTGCAGTGGTCGCAGCGTGCAGCGAGGCCGGGGGGGTGACGGCCGTAACGCATGTTGAGGGCATCTCGAAACTCCGCAGCATCAAGACCAGTGTTGTTGTCTGTCGACGGGAGGGTGGTCAGCCAGCCGGACGTCTTATACTCGGCGCTGCGGGAGAGGACGCGATGGCGCCGGCGGTCGATGTGCGGCAGGGCGGCCTCCCTCTTGGTCTTGTGGGCGACGTCCTGCTGCTGCTTGCTCCGGGTGAGGGCGTGGCGGATGGTGGCACGATGGTCGCCAGGGTGGAACGGAGCCTTGCCTTGGACGGACTTGGAGACCACCTTGGTGCTCGCGCGGGAAGCGGGGTAGGCGGCTGCGGCACGGTCGAGAGGGTCACGTATGCCGGTGCCGCCATGCCGGGCAGGCAGCAGCATCAGGTCGACCTCGGACGGCGTCACAGGGCCGCCGAGGAGGGCCGGCAGCAGCTCCTTGGCGATGGCCTCGCGGAGGGGGCTGAGAGCGCACTCGTCGGTGAGCACGACACGAAAGACGTAGTCCCACTCCATCTGCAGAGACCTCGTCATTGCCGCGTGGGCCGTGTGTGGGAAGTTGCGGGCAGCAGACGTGAGCGCGCGCACGCCGCGCACCCACCCCTCGACCTTCTCGCAGAGGAACGCCGCCCTTCCCCCCTCATCGCCCACGTAGCCGCCCAGGAACCTCTTGCCCGTGACGATCTGCACCCCCTCGGGCTCGAAGAGTTCCCTTGCGATCTGCTCGAGCTCGGGTTTGACGACGAGGAAGGACTTGGCGGTCTCTGGGTGATAGCCGTATGAGGGACCGATGCGACGCAGGGCTCGAAACCACACGAGGATGCCGTGAAGTTTGCCGAGCGCCGACGAGTCATCCGCATACCAGCACTGCCGCAGCGAAGCGCTAGATGAAGAGGCCGACGGGGCTGACGAGGCCGACAAACTCTCCTCCTCACCAACTCCAACACCTTCTACATCAGAACACACACATACACCCGCACCATCCCCCTCTGCTTCTGGTGGCGTGTCACTGGCTTCTTCTGGCCTCTCTTGCGCTTCTGATGGCGCGTTTTCGTTCTCGTCCATGTCTGACCCAGACCCATCGCTGCCTGACTCATCCCATGCCCCACTCGACGGCATCTCATATCCCTCCTCAGCGCAGGCAGCCCGCAGGGCATGGATGAGGGGAAGGCTGCCGCAGGCGTAGACGAACATCGCCATCGAATCGCCCTGTGTGACACCTTCACAATCTAATGTCAAACCTTCCATTCCTGAAGAAGGCTCTTGTTTAGTCGCTGAAGCATACTGACCCCAACGACGTTACCCTCACCGCACTCCATCTTCTCTCTGCGTATCGCAGCGACATGTCATCTCGAAACAAGGACTCACACACAAAGTACGCAGAAGGCAGGCTGTGCTGCGTCTTTGTCTGCACCTGTGCGCACTTGTGTGCAGAGCGATAGAAGAGATTGGCGACTGGCTTGATGCATTTGCTGCCACGTCGATTGCGGATACCAACAAAGAATGGACACATGACGATTTACTGGACCTCTTTCATCTGATGGATTCCTCGGAGTCTCTCCAGACAGTCGCAGAAGGTAAACACATCTCTCTTTCTCTTTTCCGCCTGAAGCGAGCTGCTGCGTGTTTGTTACAGCAAAGGTTATTGAGTTAACTCGTGAACGCTGGAAGGAGCCGTATCTTTACGTCCATGAATCCGTGAGTTGGCTTGATGTGGGCGAAAAGCTGCCTTTCCTCTTATGTTGTAATGATTGTGTCTGCAGGAGACAAGAGACCCTAGTGGATTGGAAGGAATAGTGACTTTCATGCAGGATTGGGGATTTCGAGTGGCTCTATCGCCACAACTTGCTTTCATCAGCAGATTTATTATGATGGCCGTTATGTAAGGAGGCAAGTAAATGTCAGCAATGAATCGACCAGCTTGTTTTGTTCAGGATCGGATGTGTATTCGCGTATGTTAATGTGTATGAGATCTCGTCTAGCTACGGCGATGAGATCCAGTCTAAAGGATGGATTTGGCTGTGGGCCATTGTGACAATGGGCGGTGGTTACATCGCACAGGAGATCATGCAGGTGAGAAAGTAAAAGAACAAGTACAGGGAATTCACGTTTTGAACCTTTTTGGCGATAGATGTTTCGTTTGGGGTGGCGCTACTGGGGGGAATATTGGTGAGGCATGCTTTTATTCATCATGCGCAGATGTTGACTTGCTTTGCATGCGGCATTCAGGAATTACCTTGACCTCGCGAGTTCTCTTGCGGTCATTTCATTCGTCGCATTGCATTTTTCCAGAGCACCATCTGAGGCAATCACTGCTTCACTGTCACTCGTCGGTCTATTGTTCACCACGAGATTTCTCCAAATTGCCACCCTCAACTCTACAACTGGGCCACTCATCTTGTAAGGAAGAATGCATCAATTTCTGTCTTATCCGTGATGATTATTTGTGATTCAGGGCTGTAATACGCATGCTTGCAGACATGTACTACTATGATGTTCTGACCAGTTGTGTAAGCAGAGCCTGTACGTGTGCATTCTGTTTGTGCACTGCAGATCGATATTTCTACTCCTCTACGTATACGTCTTGCTGGCCTTTGCGGCTACAGTGATGACACTCGCGACAGACGAGAGTGAGTATTTGGGACTTACGGACAAGCCATCCTAACGCTATTCTATGGTGGATTGGGGGAATTCCAAGTAAGAAGATGTCTTAATTCTACGATGAGAGAGGAGACGTCTTGTTTCTCTGGACAGGAACCGTTAGATAGTGCCATTCAGGATGAACATCTTCTCATTCCTATTCTTCTGATCCTTTACGTCATTCTTTTATCCATCATCCTGGTAAGATGTACGCAGAGGTGGTTAAAAGCAGATTTTCATCTTCGGATCATCTCTTTGTGCTCCCCTACTTATAGCTCAATCTCTTAATAGCTATCATGGTAGGGAAGAAGATAGGGAAGAATAAGCTGACACAACGCGAGCATCGATGATCTGTGATATCAGGCATTCACTTGGGATGCCATCGAGTCAAGTCAACATGCACACTACCAGTTAGTCAACCCCAAAAACGAGATCGAGACATATAGAGACACAACATGAATCTGTTCATCGCTTGCAGCATGCTGCGGCTCCGCCTTCTTAATGAGTATCTCTATATGCCGACCTATGAGCGAATTCCACCTCCATTCTCCCTGATAAGTACGTGTGGATATCACAAAGCCCAGCAGGACATTTCTTGTATGCAGGCCTTTTTCTGCTAGCACCCGCTCGCTCCCTTATGTACCGTATCTCGGCTGTGGATGAAACCACATGTTTGAGGATCCTTGGATTTTCCCTTGTGGCCGTCCTCTGTATTCTCGAGTTTGTCACATATATCGTCGCCTTCACACCTGTGTTCCTCATTGCCATTCCCTTCGAATGGCTCGGAATACTACTGACAGAAAAGGGCGGAACAGTGGTGGAAAAAATAGGCTTCTTCATGGCCCTTCCTTGTGTACTGCCTATCGGAGTCCTCAGCGCGATCGTAGTCATCGGTTTCATTATAGTGTGTGACCTGGTGTTTGAGATGAACGTAAGGGACACCTTTGAAATTCCACTTACGCTGGTTATGGTACTTCAGGCCACAGTTGAAGCGGAGGAGAAGCGTCTGGAAAGGCGGCTACATGTGCAGGGTGACAAAGAACCAGATGCAGCAATGGCCGCTACTGTTGACAAGTGGTGTCGAGAGGTGGATGGAAGAAAGGCCACAATGCAAGATGTGATGACAAGTGAGAACATCAAACTCTACCCATCTCACTGATGCTCTCACTGATGTTCTATGTGTGCAGCAATGTGGCAGATGAATGAGCGCATAGAAGAAATCCGACACTCGCTATCTTCTTCCCCTGCTTCTTCTCCTTACGAAAGACAAATTATTTCTGAGTCTTCCTCTTAAAGTGTGATGCTCAACCGACGTTGGAATATTTTTTGCCTACAACACCCTGAGGGGTGACAAATGTGAGGCGAGAGGACGTGAATGTCTCCTCTCTCATTTGTACACCAAAGTACAAATGTGTGGACAAATGACCTGCATCCACCAACAAGCGATGCAACACACCAACAGGTGGATGTGTCTGTCATGTATGCTGTGCGTTGGATGGATGGATGGATGAATGGATGGATGGGGCCCGCATGTATGTGTCTCCCTCCCTCCCTCCCTCTCTCTCTGGCTCTGTCAAGTGCCACGAGCAGCCAACCGGACCAGATCAGTCCATGAATCATTTTTGTTTTCCATATTCATGTGTGGCGTTCGTCGTCTGTGTTAGCGTGTGTGTGAGGGGATGGGGGAGAAGGCTGCTTGTTGGTGAGGTAGGTGTGAAGGTTTGAAGGTTTTGAAGTCATGCCATTGCTACATTTAATGATGGGGTGTCCATCTATCCACCCATCCATCCATGCCGCACGCCACACATTCACCACCCACTTCTCGGCCTTCTCTGGCACCATTATCTACAAAAGTCGATTTACAAAAGTGCCTTGATTGATGCACACCATTCTAATTGGTGCCCCGCCTCAGCACAGCACTCAAAACCACCCACAGGACACACAAAATGACCGCGCCACACACCGCACCGCGCATGGATCAATCAACCGACATGCACTGAGAGGGAGGGAGAGAGGGGCAAAAAAGAGAAAGCGCCCACAGACAAACAGACAGACAGAAATGCATGCATGCATGCATGCATGCATGGGTTGCTGCCTGGTGAGTGGACTAAAGAGGGGAAGGGCCGCAGGAGGCAGATACATACAGACATACAGACAAACATGCGATCGCGTGTCGTGTCTTGCATGCTTCGATCAGGAGTGAAGCAGGGGCTTCCCTCCGAGGCGCCTTCGGCTTCGACTCTCACCTGACATAATACAGACAGACAGACAGACAAGCACAGACGAGCAAGATGCAGCCTTTTGTTTGCTGCCAGCCATTCTCCCTCCCTTTCTGGCTCACATGTGAATTGGCTGGTGAAGAGAGACCCCGCCGGCGCCCCCCGAACGGCCTCCCAGTCGATGTACTCCTTCTCGCCAAACCCATTCTTGGACATGCAGCACAGCCTGCACGCACACAGACAGACAAACAAACAAACAGGACACACGCGGCTGCACCAACACCTACACACAGACAGCTGCCAATCCACGCGCTCACCAGTTTCGGTACTCCTCTTCGTAGTCAGCGAAGTTGGCGTACGGCGACACACCTGCGTTGACGAAATACTTGCGGAACTCGGCCAGACAGTCAGGGAAAGGATCGATGTGGCAGGTGTTTGTCTCGCAGTCGCAGTAGCCCCCGACGCCCAGGCCAGGGCAGTCCTCATCGGACTCGCACGACCGGCCCTGCACCTTGGCGCAACGCGCCGACCCCCCTGCCCGTAGAGTAGACAGACAACGACCAGATGGATGTTGACTGGTGTGTGGGGGGTGTGTTGGGAGGGAGGGAGGGAGGGAGGGAGGGTCACTTACGTCTTTGGTCGATCTCTGCGGGCTGCCAGGGCAGGCACACCATGGGAGCTGTGGGCGAGATGGGAATGGCCGCCACCGACGCATCCACACCAAAGATCTCTGCACGGCACGCAGGCAGCCAAACACAAACACAAACACACAAATGAATGCCACAGATGGATGGATCGCACGCCGCCGATCCATCCACATTAGTACGTACCAGTGCATTTGCCCCTGTAGCACTGGGTGCCGGCCTCGCACTCGCCGGGGCTCTCGCCAGAGCACTCCTCACCAGAGGCCTTCGACTTGCTACAATCGCTGTCCTGCGGTGTCACGCAATACGTCCCCTGACATACAGACAGGGAGAGAAGGATGCTCATGCGCCCTGTGGTGTCACTTTGTCGTGTGCAGTGGTGTGTGTCACCCACCCACCTCAGGGCAACAGACGTCGGCACACGTCATACTGTCAAGAGGACCCAGTGGTGGAGGAGGGGGTCCGTTGGCCGCACCATCACCACCATCACCGGCAGTGGGCAGTGGTGGGGGTGGTGGCACCTCAGGCATGGCGAGTCCTGACTCGTGCGGCTTGCATGCTCCCTCAACACAAGTGCCGCACGCCGCATTGCACAGCCGGTCCAACTCGTTGCACGCCTCGCCCCAGCCGACAAACCGATCCACACACCTGGCACAAAGGCATACAGCCGTGGAGGACATCCCCATTGTGGACATCTCTATCTTATGTTGCAGCTTAGCTTACACGGCTGTGGAGGGGTCTGCCGAAGCGAAGCTGGGCGGCAGGCACCTGTCCGTGTCGCATGCCGCCCCCACCCTGGGGTCGCATGGCGAGCCTGTGGCCTGCTTGGCCGCGCACGTGCCGTTCTTGGGGGCGGGAGGTGGAGGTGGTGGGGGGCCCACTTGCTGAGGAGACCCTTCAGGCATCGAGGGAATGACACCTGAGGGACCACCAGCCAGCCAGCCAGGTGGGTGGGTGGGTGTGTGCGGTGAGGTGTGTGTGGGTGTGTGTGGATCGGTCATTTAACGTACCATCGTCAGGGGCGCAGTATGACTGCCTGTCACAGAGGCCATGCACCCCGCCGACAGTGCAGGACTCCCCCACCTTACGCGTGTGGGGCAACACACACCTCCCTGACCAACCAACCAACCAAGCAGCGACAGCCACATGCAACCATACTCACTCACGAACATGTTTTGTTTGTCTCTGGACGTCTCTGACTGACTGACCAGCCTCAGCGCCGGGCAGTGCGTCGCACACGAGAGGGTACTTGCACCTCTGCCTGTCGCCCTTGGCTCGCGGGTAGTCCACAGTGCAGCTCCCTCCCTCACCCTGGTTGGTACGATGGGAGGTGATTGAGTGCCCATCATCGCGATCACCAACCAGACCAAACAATGGGTGTACTGTAGTTCCATCGACTTTTGTGGTGTGACGTGAGCCACGGACGTACGTACCTGCCAAGAGCACACTGCAGCAGCCACCAGGGACCGTTCGGTGACGAGCAGCGCCGCCAGGATGAGCATCATCAGGGTGGCGAACATCTCGGTCGGAGGGAGCGGCAGATCTTGAACGAAAAACGCTGGAAAAAGATATGCAGCAAGAAAAGTAGCGAGTTGAGAAGGGTAGAAGAGTCCGTTGTGATGCGCTTCTCTCGCTGACGACTCATTTCAAGCTCGCATCCGTAGCTCGAGCAGCTTTCGTCAGATCTGCATCGCCGCAGTGGTCAGAGGAGCGGGGCATTCCGCCAGCAGCTGCGGGACAACGAGATGGGTGAAGTTCTACAGAGGCAAAGGCGCGCAATGAGTCGCTCAGCAGTGTTGCTGTTGGCTGCCCTTCTGGGATCATGGTTGTGTGCCGTGGCGGGCTTCCATCTTTCGTCGACAGCTCCGTTCATCAGACGCCAATCTCTCCTTTCAAGGCGGCCATCATCATTACAAGCACACCCACAACAGGCAATGGTCTTTCGCGTTCGGCCAGCGGTGAGCACTGAGGCGCAACACACAGCTGCCGACGCATTCCTGTCTTCTGAATGAGTTGCGGCTGTTTTGTGGTGTGCTGCAGGGAGGGCTGTGGATGGCGGGAGATAATTATGACTACGACCTGGTGATTATCGGCTGTGGAGTCGGGGGCCACGGGGCAGCGCTGCACGCCGGTAAGGTACACACACAGACAGAGGACGTGCGCACAATCAGTGCTTGCACGAAGGACGCTGAGCTCTTGATTGGATGTGTGTTGGTGTGTGTGCACTGACTGCAGTGGGCAAAGGTCTGAAGACCGCTATTCTGACTGGTGGGGATGTGGGCGGCACATGCGTTAACAGAGGTAGGCAGCCAGGCAGGCCCACACATCCACTCACTCACCACACGGCCAACCAGTGCACTCACTGCAATCAGTGACAGACAGAGCACACCACATAGGTCTGTATATCAGGTTGTGTGCCATCGAAGGCTCTGTTGGCTGCATCCGGTCGTGTGCGTGAGCTGCGGAATGCGCACCACCTCAAGGCCCTGGGGGTCACCGTAGACAACGTCAAATACGACAGGTCAGTTGAGCGAGTGAGTGGGTCTGTCTGTTTGTGTCAACACAACAAGCACCCACCATCAGCACCATCAGCGAGCGAATGGGTTACTTTGTTTCTCTCGTGCCCTATTGGTTCATTTCATTGGTTGCCTTTCAGGCAGGCGATCGCCGACCACGCTAAGAATCTGGCGGCCAAGGTGCGGTCAGGGCTCGAAAACTCACTCACAGGTATGCATGTATCCCACCAACACAACACACAAGGAAGGCACCAACACCATCCATCCACGCATCTCACTCATCTGCACCGCCATCCATCAGGTCTCGGTGTGGAGGTCATTCCCGAGAAGGGCTCTGTGAAGGGTCCACATGAGGTGCAGGCGGGGAGCCGTGTGGTCCGCGCCAAGGACATCATCCTGGCGCCAGGGTCGCTGCCCTTTGTGCCGCGGGGCATAGAGGTGGACGAGAAGACTGTCTTCACGAGCGACGGTGGCCTCAGGCTCGACAGCGTGCCCGAGTGGCTGGCCATCGTGGGCAGCGGATATATCGGTCTCGAGTTCTCAGACGTATTCACCGCTCTCGGTGGGTCGCCAGGGCGGCAGGTTACACACAAAATCTATCTATCTATCTGTTTGTTCGTCTGTGTTTGCTGCCGGCAGGCTCTGAGGTGACGTTCATTGAGGCGCTGGACCGCATTATGCCCACCTTTGACCCAGAAATCGCCAGGCTGGCGGAGAGGCAAGCCTTGGACCAGCCAGCGGCTCATCGGCAAACAACGTTCGCACAACAAACTTCCTTCATGTGATTGATGTGCACTGCACATATATAGGTTGCTGATCCGTCCGCGGTCCATCGACTACCGCACGGGCGTGTTTGCGTCGGAGGTCACCCCAGGCATCCCCGGTAAGCTGACATGCCAGGCAGCCATCCAGCCAGCCAGCCATATGATAGTGAAGTGAAGGCACACGCGTCCGTCCACTTACTTGTGGTGTCTGTCGCTCACAGGTGAGAAGCCGGTGACCATCAAGATGATCGACGCAAACACCAAGGAACACGTAAGGAGCAAAACAGCCAATGAGTGACTGTCATCCGGCCATAGAGACACTGCACTGTGCTCTATGTGCGCTTCACTCTAGGTTGAGACCCTGGAGGTCGATGCCTGCCTGGTGGCGACTGGCAGAGTGCCCAACACCAAGGTACGCGACGCCTACATCTATCTGAGACAGACGGCAGGAAGGAAGTACATACCTGCCTCATCCTCCGTCCCTCTGTCTGCTGTGTTGTGTTGTGTGTTGGCTGGCCAGGAGTGTGGTCTCGAGAACGTCGGCGTCGAGATGGACAGGGGGTTCGTGCCGGTCAGCAAGTGACTGACTCGAATCTGCAGGCCAGGCCGTCCATCACATCGCATCCCACGCGTGTGTCGATGTGTGTGTGTCAGGTGGACGAAAGGATGCGGGTGCTCACCAAGAAAGAAGGTACCAACACGTGGATAGGTTGACAACTGCCCGTAGGTATCTAACTATCGTCTGGTCTGGGTGTGTGGTGTGGTGTGGGGACACGACACACCCCATGTGTGTGTAGGTGTGGAGGTGGTGCCCAATCTGTACTGCATCGGCGACGCAAACGGCAAGATGATGCTCGCACACGCTGCTTCCGCACAAGGTAAGGTGCAAACATACACACACAGCACTACAGATCCAGGCAGGGCACACCAAGCAATCGCCGACACGACACGTGTGAGGTTTGGCGTATTATGTGTCTGTCTGGTGCACTCAGGCATATCAGCGGTCGAGAACATCATTGGGCGCCCCCATGCCGTCAACCACAATGCCGTCCCGGCAGCATGCTTCACACACCCGGAGATCGCATTCGTCGGTCAGACAACCGCCCACACACAGTAACACAGACAGACAGACAGACAGACGGACAGATGGTCGTGTGTATTGTGCGCACCTGATTGTGTGTGTGTATGTGTGTGAAGGGTTGAATGAGGACCAGGCCAAGGACAAAGCCAAGGCTGAGGGGTTCGAGCTCGGCAAATCCACCGGACACTTCAGGTCAGTCAGGCAACCCCCACACGCCGCACACGAACGAGCACACACACAGAAGAAAGAGGCGAGCGTCATGCGATCATTTAGGGCCAACTCGAAGGCACTGGCAGAGGGTGAGGGCGACGGGATCGCCAAGGTGCTGTTCCGGAAGGACACGGAGGAGATTTTGGGTGTGCACGTCATCGGTCTGCACGCCAGCGACCTCATCCAGGAGTGCGCCAACGCCGTGGCGGCTGGACAAACCGTCCGCGAGCTCTCTTACATGGTCAGTCAGTGCGGTCACCGACACCGACACCATATCATGAGAGAGAAGCTTAAGGAAGGCTACAGCTTATCGTGTGGTGTGTTGTGTTGTGTTGTGGTGGGTGTGTCGTTGATTGCTCAGGTGCACACGCATCCGACGTTGTCAGAGGTCATGGACAGCGCTTTCAAGGGGGCGGTGGGGATCAGGACACACTGACTGAAGGATGGATGGCTGGAAGGAAGAGTGGGTGGATAGACCACACCCACACACGAGAGAGAGAGAGAGAGAGGTGCGTGTATGTGTGTGTAAGATATCCCAGACAGAGGGAGGGAGTTTTGGCTGTGTGATGCGGTGTGATGCGATGTGATGTGATGTCATGTGATGTGGAGCCGGACGAACTGTCCAAAGATGCCATCACGTGAAGTACATGTCGGTTGACCGAGCGGATGAGAGAGTGAAGGAATCTGCACACATGACATGACATGGCACCGCACCTGACGAGTCAGTCCATCAGACAGGTACAAATGATATCTGCTATCTGTACACGCATCACCCTCCCACCCACACAGTCGCCCAACACAGACACTGCCAGCTACACCGGCTACGCTACGCAGATTCATTACTTCTGTTTTTGGGCATCCCATTGGATCGATCAACAAAGCCAAACCAACACACACACAGGCGCAGCGCACACATATGGACATGACAAAGTGGACAGCAGCAGCAAGAGCAGGAGCTATCCTATCCCATCATCAATCAAGATACACAGACAGGCATATAGTAGATAGATAGGAGGAGAAGGAGGAGGAAATAATCGAGCAAAACCCTCATTCATCTGTGTCCCTCGCCAACGCATAAACACGCCACGGACGCCACGGACACCACCGTGCCATCAAACCGAGAGAGAGACACTGCTATGATGACGGTCATTCATGCATGGTCCATCAAAAAAGCGAACACACACACACACACACTCGCACAAGACCCCCCACACGCCTCCTCTCTGTGCGCTAGACCTCCCCCTCCCCTCCCCTACCCTCGCCATCACCGTCACCATCACCCAATGTCCGTCGTGGTATGCCCACACAGACCATGTCACTGCTACCGTCGTTGCGGGGCGACTCCCCCTGGCCGAGATGCTGGTAAGCTAATGGGGGGTGGGAGTGGGGCTGCACACAGGTGTGGTGAAGGTGGGGGTGGTGGTGGGGATGGGGGTCGCTCTCCCTCTCAGGCGCCGTCAGGATTCGGCGGAGGGAGGGCACCACTCCCGATAAATGGTGGTGATGATGCCCGTGCACATGTGGGCCTTCATCACCCGCTCCCATACATGAGGTGGCGGCCCTGGGAGGCCCGGAGGAATGGCTGCTGGCGGCGGCATCGTTCAAGGGGGAGGTGTCATGGTCGTGGCCGCCGTGCTGGCTGTGTGCCTGGGGGGGCTGGGGATGGGTGGTGCGGGGGTGTGTGTGTGTGTGGTGGTCTCTGTGTGGTCGATGGCGAATCCGTTTTGGCGAGATGGTCGCTCCGCTGGCGGGGCTGCTGCTGTCCTCCTGACCTCCACAATCAGAACACCCCTGCACCCACACCCATCCATCCAGACAGATACAGACACATTCCGGGCGTTGTCATTTCCCATTTGCGTACTTCAGTGTCGTCGGCATTGGTGGTGTGGCTTGCGCCAGGGAGGAAGATGGGCTCTCTCTCCTTGTGATGATTGACGCGGGGTGTGGTGGTGTTGCGGGAAACGGGCGAGATCGACGGGCTCAAGAAGTCTGCACGGTCGTCGCCGTAGTTGCTCGGGGCGTACACCGTCTCCATCGCCCCATTGCTCCTCTGTCAGACACACACAACACACACACACACACACACACACAGATGGATGGATGGATGGCATCTTATGGGTTCTCACTGACCACATCTGCAGGCGGCTGTCTGTCGTCGTAATCGGTGTCTGAGAAGACCTCGTCAGGACAGCTGGTGGTATTGTTGTTCCTGTTGCTGCTGTCTTTGCCCTCCTCTCCGGGGAACGCCTCTCTGGCGAACATGTCGTCGTCGGGCAAGGGAGGCGACCCGCCGTCCGCATCTGTCTGCAGCCAATCCAGCCTGACAACACACGGATGGATGCATCGAAATGCCAAGAGAAAATGGGCGCTGGCTGTGTGTGTGTGTGCGCACCCATGTACTCTCTTCTCGCGCAGCCAGAGGTCCTCGACTCGGTATGCGTTGATGGCGATGAGAGTGAGGGGCAGCATCGACACCGAGAAGATAAAATGCACCCACGCCTCGCTCATCACAGACTGACATACCAATGAACCAATGGATGGACCAATCAATAGCCGGATGGATGGATGGACAAGGAAGGACACCTACGTGTGTTGCGTGCGCGTGTGCCTACCCTACCTGGTCGTAGACGCGGTTGTGTCCCGGTATGAGGTGGCGAAGGATTATCGACGTGAAGTTCACCAGAAACACCGTCACCTGCACCACCACACACATCACGTGCACAGTGAGATCTCAAGACAACACTCGTGTCCCACACACCCACCTGTATGACGACATATTTCTGCAGTGTCCGATACTCCTTGAGCAAGCTCTTGGACGCCTTGAAGACCATCACCAGGCCCCACATGCAGAAGAGGGTCACCAGGATCCTGACGTAGTGGAGGATGTCAAAGTAGCTCTCGTTCAGCGCGTCCGTCACCGCTATGAACGGGCCCACTATGGCGTACTGACACAGCAGGAAACGTGTCACGCGGAAGTCCGTCAGGTCAAAATGCCTTAAGCACAGACACAGAGAGACACACAGCCAGCGGTCGGTCATTGTGGTTGGTTGGGTGATTGACAATTAATTTTTCCAGACCAACCGTTTTCTGGCGAACACGTTCCAGCACATGAGCGGGGGCACTTGGTAGATCCTGAAAGGCGGCTCCTTGCGCAGCAGGTCCAGCGCCCTCTCCGGGCCGCCCATGAGCTCCACGAGCAGCTCAAAAAACCAGAAGAGACACGCCATGTTGTACAGGTACGCCAGCAGCTCCAATAAAAGCGCCTGACGGATTATCAACAGCGATAACCTGACAGACAAGACAGACAGACAACCATTCACGCACAACACACGCACACACACACGCATATATCACTCTGTATGTGTGTATGTGTGGTGGAAAGGCCTGCACCGACCAGGAGGTTATCGAGAGAATGGGGAAGAGCACGAGAATCTGCATATGCAGCCTGGCATGGGTGGGAATGAACACCAGCCCCTTGAGCTGCCGCAGCTTGTCCCCGGCGAGGAAGTGCCGCCAGACCGATCGCACCGTGGCCACCGTCACGACCAGCGTGACCGCCGTGCTGAAGCCCCAAAACACCAGGAATATCGGCGGGGCCATCTGCACGTGCTGGTGAACCCACGGCAGGCGCGGCGGGATCATACAGTCGCTCGACGGATCCATCGCGCTACCAGAGGGACGCACAGAGGGGGGAGGGGGGAGGGAGGGGGGAGTCTGGAGAGGCTGATTGACCGACTCCGCTGCCTCTTGAGAGACGACTTTGTCTACTGCGGCGCTTCTTCTGCCGTCAGGAAAGGGACGACCTGGACGACGCCGGGAGGCCGTTCATCTCCTTTTGCTGCCATTGTTCACACTCTCTTCGTCAGGTTTGTCTACAAAGTGCGAGCTGTACGGAGCCCTTTTGCGAGCCGAATCTCGACGTCGCGACAAGCTCGGATTTGACGTGCGTCAGAAAATGACAGTCGGTTAGCAGCGGCCGCCGAGGAAGCAGCGGACCACAGCCACCGGCAGTCGTCGAGTTGTTTTTGAGAGAAGGTCTCTCTCTTGTCTGTTACGGACGAAGGTCATCCTAGATCTGTTTGAATATCTGTGACTGTAGTGTACTGTTTGTATAGCAGAGCCTTGACTGACCTGATCTCACCCCTTTCCGTCCAGCCCCTATCTGTCCCTCCACAATCACTTGTCTGCTGATGCTGACCTTTCTGGCGGCCCTGGTGCTGTTGGTGGCTGCTGCTGATGCCCAGGTGGTGCTGCGAAGGCAGGCAGATATTGGCCACAAGAGTCGGCGTCTGCAGCTGTCCAGCTGCTGGGAGTGGGGAGTGCGGCAGTTCGAGGGAGACGAGCTGCACGCCCCTCTGGCAAAACAGGCCACCAGTCCAAGCCTATGCAGGTAATCATACACACACACACACACAGACACGCGTAGAGTGGACGAACGGGTGTGTGGCTGCATCTGCCTGTCGTATTGATCAGCATGGCTGCCCGTGAGACGCCCGGCGCCTCCCGGTGGGCGTGGAGTCCCGAGACTGGCTGTGTGCTGATGGGCTGGGACCTGCAGCTGAGGGACTACCCCCTCAGGAAGGCCGCCATGGTGTCAGGCACACACGACAGCTACAACTGCGCTCAAGGGGGTGAGCACATAATCAGCACACACCCTCAACAGACAGACACACGTGTGCCATTGTCGGCATCTGTCTGTCTGCCTGTCTGTCTGCCTGTCTGTCTGCCTGTCTGTCTATGTGCAGCTGCGTGTTGGCGGTGGGGCATTGACTATCTCGGTCACGATCTCCCCCGCAAGAACGGCTTCCACGACCTGCCTCACATCCAGTCAGCGGAGGCATGCTCCAAGGAGTGCGAAAGCACCAGCGGCTGTTTCCACTGGAGCTATGGGCCTGAGTGGGGGTGCTCGCTCAAGGGAAAGGACGCACCGAGGGGCGCGCGGCGTCAGGGGGAGAGGGGCTGCTGCAAGGACAAGGTGTCGGGACCTAAACCAAGCCAATGCACCAGACAAAACACTGGTACGTCTGGCTGGGTGTGCGTGTAGATTGCATCTGTCTGTCGGTCTGTCTGTCTGTCCTTCTGTCTGATTCTCTGTCTGGCATATCTTGTGTTGTGTGCCAGCTCCCCCCTTCCCCGTGAACAAGTTCTGCTCTCCGTCTTTCCCCGGTGCCCGCGAGGCCGCGAGGGGCATCTGGTCGGTGCTTGACTTCGGCCTGGTGGCCGACACGACGCTGGTGGAGTTCCAGGTGTCGGGGGCCGGCGAGTACGGCAGCCAGGGGTACTACCAGTGCCAGGCTGCATGCCACGACGACCAGCGGTGCAAGGCCTTCGAGCTGAGAGTCTATGACCCACCTTATGGCGACGCACAGCCCCCTCAGGTGAACCTGGGAGGGAGGGAGGGGGAAAGACAGAGTGACCCTACGAGTCTTTGGCTTTGTGTGTCTGTGATGCTGTGTGTGTGTGGCTGCAGTGTATGTTGTATGATGCCCCCGAGTACTTCACCGTGTGTAGCACGTCGTTTGTGCAGTGCAGCTCCTTCGTCATGTGCCGGCGCAGCTGCCATGTGCTCAACAAAAAGTGCCCCGGACGCCAGATGCACAGCAGACGGCAAGTGGACAGCGCAGACCAATGCCAGAACATGTAAGCATCCAACTACACACAACGGAACCCCGCACCATTGTGTCTTGTCTGTCTGTCTGGCTGTTTGTGTCAGCTGCAAGTCAACGCATGGCTGCGTGTGGTTCAACCATCTGCCAAGCGGCGATTGCCAGCTGTATTCCTCGGTGGACCAGCACTTCTGCACGTACCATCCCGCAGCAACCGCTGGCAAGCCACGCTGCAGTGACAACGACCTCTGAATGTCCATCGATCGACCAATCGATCGGCCGTGTTCAAAGGAAGGCAATTGTGTGGTGCGGTGTGGCCTCCCCTTCCCTCCCTGTGCGCCTGGCTGCGTGCGAGGGAAGGCTGTAAGGGCCAGCTACCCACCAACCGCCAAATGAATGGCCGAATGCGGCGCAGTGTGTGTGTGGTGTGCGTATGTATCGTACCGATGCGATGCGACGCGATGCGATGCGATGCGATGCGATGGGATGGATGCGATGCGTGTGTACAGTGTACAGCAGTGAGAGAGATTTGTGTGAGCTTCTTACCCTCCTTCCGTCCCGTTTGTCTGATTTGTATCGTTGTCAGTCAGTCATCTTGTCGATAGATACAAAGCATATACATACACATATATATGTACACACATACACATACACATATACATATATAAAGACACATGCATATACGTACATATACGTGCATATGCGCATACATGTAGGTGTGAAGGTCGCAGGCAGGCAGGCTGGTAAACTACTAGTACTGTCTCCTCTCTCTCACTCTCATTGCCTCACTTTGAGAGTGTCTGTACAGATCGCCATTCATTATTGCACATGTGTGTGTGTGTGTGTGTGTGTATCCGTCTGCAAGTGTGAACGAGCCAACGAAAGACGTGGCTCCAACTCACTTTTCCGCACATCAGCCTGCCTGCCCGTTAACGCCTTTTTCCGCCACCTTTTATCTATCGCATTCTTGCTGTGCATGTGTGTGTGCGTGTGTGTGATGGATGGGTCTTTGTCCTAATCGCTGCCTGCCTCATGTGTGTGGACCAACTTATCGTATCATCTTCCAAGTGCACTTGCAGACCTCCTCAAGTCAGTCAATTCACTCAACGCTTCTTGAAGTCGTCCCTGTGTTTCTCGTGCACACGGTTAGTCTCCATCCACCACCCCGCCATCCTGTTGGCATGAAACCTGGGAATGCAGCCTCTGTGTCTCTCCCCCTTCCCCTCCAACGTCGTGTCTTTGTCGATGGTGTCGTGACCAGGCGATAGTGCGGCAGTTGCCATCGGGCTCGGTACCGGAGGAGGGAGGCTCATGCGAAGCTTGCGTTTCCGCTCGTGGGGGCCAAAAGTGGGGGCCGTGAATTCATGAGACCGCTCTCTCCCTTCGTGTGAGAAACACTCAGGTGAGAGCCCTCATCATTGTCACACAAGCATCTCTTTTGTCCGCATTAGGCGTCTTCTCCCACGCGGCGACGATGTTAAGACGAAGTGCTTTACTTATACCTGCCATTCTCTTGTTGACATGCGCAAGAGAGGTACGCAACAATATCAAAGTGAGCTGTGACAGTCCCTTTGGCGTCTTCCCTTTCTCCTCCTCAGATATGTTGCAACAGTGATCGGAGCCTGTTTGCTCTTCTTGACCGCATTTTTGGGACTCTTCTGGCAGATGAGACGGACCGTGCTCATTCCTTCCTCCTACTTGACCTCCTCAATACGACGGTCAACAGTACCACGGCACCAGCTGATGATGTGACTGATGCTGCGATGGCTCGTGGGTTGCTCCCGCCGTCCTTCAACGCTCTCTCGAGACCCTTTCTGGACAACACAACGATGCAGCGGATCAACAACACCGCGGTCGAAAACCTTTCCAAGCTCTTCACGGTTGCTTTCGAGGACACGAGGACAATCGACGACTGTCACAACGCCTCTTCTGCTGTCGCTCTCGCTGCCTTCGGCGCTATTATTGACACCCACACACGTTTATTGGTCAAGAGAGCTCTTCTCGATGATGCCGGTGATCAACAGGAGCTTGAACTGACGGTGATCGACATACTGAGGACCGTTGTGATGGCTGTGACCGGTGTAGAGGCCGAGTCGGATCTTGTCGCGATAGCCGTCCACGGTCTGGCCTCGACCTTTACCGACGCATTTGACAGCGCACCATCAATTGAAGCTCTCATGGCTCAAGACTTTTTTTCGGTCCTTCATGTGGTCTTCAAGATGAGCTTGGCACCTGGTGACAAACATTTTCTCGGCGAGATTGCCGTGAGAGCCTTGCTGGAAAAATGGAGGCTATTCATCATGTCTCACAGTGTGACCAAACCCGAAGAGGCGGTGAGGGCTCTGTTCCGTCCCGTGGTAAATGCCATTGCTGATGCGCGGAGTCATCTTTCCTCGCCAGCGGGCCTTGCGGCATTTCTCCTGCCATCTGCTCTTGAGGATGTCACGACGTGGCAGCATGGTGCTGATACATTCATCGGCCATCTGCCTACTCTACTGCTGCCTTCCTGCCCTTTCGTGGACGGGACAACATCTGGCGGCACAAGGATGGCAATCAGGGCTCTCTTCGACAGCCTGGAGGCACTTCTTCTTGATGCCACGGCGGCGCAGCACCTCAGCGTTGTTCTCAATATTGCTGTGCTCAGCTTTTTCCACGAGGAGAAGAGCTGCAGGAACTGTGACTTCATCATTATGGCTGTGAGTCTTCTGCACGAATACATCATGCCGGCCGAATTCGATGGCAGAAGGAGGCTTATTTCGCATTCGATCAATTCTGCACAAGCTGCGCAGCTGCTGGAAGGCGTTTTGCTGGACAATGTGACGTCGCCGGCGACGAATTCTTCTCTAGACAGCTTGGCTGGCGGCCTTGGCCCCCTCCTGCTCTCTCAGAATGACTCTGCGGACACTGTTTTCATTCTTCTCAACAAAACGCTGACGGAGATCCTCAAATCCGAAGAGCCTGGCACCGACGCGCACACCCTTGCCAGCGAACTCCACGGCGCTCTCCAAGAATTAGAGCCGCTCTCGAACGAGCCTGACAAAAGTGGGGAGGCCGCTCACCTGACGAACATACTCCTGAGCCATTACGGCCTTGAAGCGCTATTGAACGGCAACATAGTCGACTATGCTGTGCTTCTCAAGGCACTGGAGGCGGCTCTTAAAGCTTTCAGGGCTGGTGTGAAGTGGCTAACCAAGAGCGAAGAGTTATATGGGCTGAAGATTACTACGGAGGGCGTCCTGACCTTCTTCATTTTCTTTGGCATCCTTTGTGGTGCTCTGGCTTTTTCCACGCATAGAATTCTCGCCTGGATGGTCGCAAAGAAAGCGCTGCCTTCGCTGATCACGAGATGCATCGATCTACACTACCCTCTCTACACTGCTGGGGTACAGCAACGGCCTAATCGCAGCGATGACGATGCTACACAAGACGATCGCACGGTCATTCGGCGCTGTTTTCGACGGGCTTTCCAGCTCTTGCAAGTTTCGCGCTCCTGTGATACTGTTCAAGAGAGAAGCAGATATGTCGTCCCGCCTGCTGTATGTTTCACCGACATGTGTCTGTTGGTATGTCACTGCTTTCGCCATCGTCTGGCTTGCCGCTGCTGCCGTCGTGACAGCCAAGAACGATTGAAGTTCACAAACTACCGTAAGCGAGAGCCACTGCATTGACCCATGTCTGTGTATCTGTATGTCTGCGGTCTTCTCAGGGTATGTATTTTTGGACCTTTGTGGCACAAGGACAAAAAGCAGATGGACCAGCATACTCTTGTTCATCGTAGGATATATACACAACAGACGACAGAAGTAGGCATGTCTCTGTCTCTTCTTCTGTCTGCGTGCGCTCACGTAGATCTTTCTCTGGTCACTTTTTGACATATGGAGGCACAACCTCCTAACGAGCCAGCTTACTCGCCACGTCGATGCCTCCTTTCACCGAAGCGTCGATTTCGCCATGCTGGTGCACACACATGATGCCTTCAACTTCGGTGATCTTCTCTGTCATCTTCTCCACACACATGACAGATCTTCTTCTCTGTCATCTTCTCTGTGGCTCTTCTTATGAACATCTCCAACAACATCTACACGCCACGGATATTCTATGTCCTCACCCTGGGCATGATTTATCTCTTTTTCTTCCAGGTGGACGTCTCAGCGTTTCTCCGGCCCTTCGCAGTAGGAGACATAGAGTTGGCGCCATTCTACTCCCTCGCATACGTCATGCTAGCGTCGACCACATTATTTATGGGAGGGGTCTATGTCGTCCTCGTGCTCCTGACGGCGCTGTTTAATCCGACCATGGCTTGGTTCTTTGCCAATATGGAGGTCTCGTGCCGTAACTATGTACGGCGGCGCATCAGAGGTGTTCCGACTGGTCAAGAGGGAGCAGCTTTGCCGCCCCCTCCAATCCCAATGCACACTCCGACTTTCTTTCTGCTAGTCGTCGCCTTTTCCCTCTCCTGGACTATACGCACGGCCATTCACCAGGGCATCTTCATTAGCTCCAAGTACATGCTGGTGTCCGACCAACTCGAGACTGTCGATCTCGGCCATGATGATAAAGAGAAGGCTAAACGGCTTGCTGAAACCCGTAATCATGACGAATGCATGTGTCAACACATCATGTCTGTCTCTCGTGTGTGTGCTCAGTGTTTCGGGGTCTATATCCTGACGCAGACAAAATCTTTAATCTAGATGACATAGCAGAGTGGGCGTTGCAGTATGCTTCCCGTCTCGTTGACTTTGTCGACTTCATGACAGTCATGCTCTATATTTCGTAAGGCGCATTCATGCTCGATCTACACGTTTGCTGATATGATTTAATTGTCTATGCGCAGGATTTCCGTCGGCGTCGGTGCTTCCGGCCTTGTGCTTTGGCGGATTCTGCAGGGCTATAGACGCACGATGCTGCGGCTCATCAAAGGCACCCTCGCCATCCGCACCCAGGAAATGCAGCAGCTTTATCGCCGGAGGCATCCGGCTGCTGTTCCTGCTGGTGTCCCAGAGCGAGAGGTGAAAGTGGTGTCTCACCTATTAGTCGGGACAAAACTGCTGGGGATAACTTTTGTGGTCGTGACAATGGCCTTTTATATATCCGAGTTCATCGTGGCCTTCTTGTCACTGATCGCGATCACCCTCTACTTTGCCCAGAAGCTTATATTGGCAGCCATGGTTGAATACAGAAACTATGTTCTTGGCCTGATCACACTCTATTTCATCCAGCTGGTGCTGGTAGCAGCGCTGTTTAAGCGAGTGGTCAGCCCATCAGGCGCTCATGTCTCGCGACCGGCGTGGTTTCATGCGTTTGTGGACTTGATGGTATGTGTGGGACGAGACGGAAGAATCTAAAAATGACCCACATTGATGTGTGTGTATATGTGTGTGTGTGTGTGTGTGCATTCAGGTGCTGGTCAACCTTCCTCTCGGCATTGTATTGGGAGTCACTCGCGTGGTAACGGTCGCCGTGTCGGGGATGCTCTTCTGTTTCAGTTTCGACAAAACGCCCATCATTGCAGCTGCACTTGACTGTAAGAACGGATACGTAATTGTTCACATGGCGACGGTATTTTCTCTGTGCACTCATATCTGCAGCTGCCCACCAGGCCTTTCTGGCGGCCTGCACATTGTGCTACGAGGAATTCAACCCCACCTATCGTTGTGCCCTAACGTGCATCAACGATACCGTCCACGACGCAACCATGACTGTCCCCTCAACGGACGCATCTCGATCCCGACATGTTCGTGTGCGGAATCGATTGTGGCTGGCCGTCACCTTACACAACAACCCGTGTCTCATTTCTATGCGTAAACAAGGCGCTCGCGATAAAGGCGGCGCTCTCGACAAAGGTGGCTCTGTCATGGTAAGGGTATGGCGGCGATTGTCGGTTTCCCGTCGGAGGGCTGACCAACCTGGCACTGAGGGAAGCACGCTTGGCTATATGGTGGAAGAGACAGATGGAGATGGTGACCGCGAGGAAAAGACGGAGAAAATCGACATGGAGGCTAATGCTTTGGCCCATGAGAATTCTCATGAGATGCGGCAGCCGTCGGGGATCGAAATGGGGGACGGCGAGAGAGCGTCGGCGAGAAATGATATTGAGGCTTCGTCCGAAGAAGGAGACACGTTGTTGTTGAGACACGATGATGGCGACGAATGTGCGAGGGTAGATGAAGAGGTGGCAAACAAGCCAAGGGCATCGGCGACGGCGGTCAACGCATTCTATGGCACACACCAGGTCGATGGTGTCGATCAAGCTTTGAGGCTTAAACCGATCGACAGCGGCCTCACCCGACGGTCGAGCATCCCTGCACAAGCCCCCGTGGACGCCCCTCATATCACTGACGGGCCGGTCTCTCCTTCTGGTGGCATTAAGACTGGTGCTGCCGATGCATATGCTTCTCATGCTGGTCCTCTGTGCGGGTGTTGCAATACGCTGGATGTGGCATAGATGGCTGATCGACCGATTGGATGTAATCGATGTGCAGCTTCAGCTGGTGGGATGGATGCGGGAGCTGTGAGACATATCTTGTGTGTGAGCATGTCCTTGATTGGCCTAGCTAGTGACGACATCTATTTATTTTTGGAACGCCATCAATGTTTGTTCGAGTGCGAGCATGCGATTTCATCACTTCACGATCGTTACTTGATGCATCTGTAGAGAACGCCCCACATACACATACACACAGAGAGACACGGAAAGACCGATTTGTGTATGCATAGTCTGATGTCTTGACAATATGTAATATACTACCAATATGTCACCACCAGTTCATCGGCAGCCCGCTTCGACCGCGTTCGTTCGACTGGGCGGAGCGACTGAGTTTTCGTACGTCCAAGCCATCTATCGGCTCATAGTTGTCGGCAAGCAAACACACAATACAGCCATTTGCACCATACAGCTCTGTGTCCGGTGAGTGCAGCATGGCGGACGATGCCGATGACGATGGGGGCACACCACACACAAATCAATGCGACACGGGCACACCATCATTGCCTCACTGCACACACACACTCTCTCTCTCTCTCTCTCTCCGTGTGTGTATGTGTGTGTGTGTGTGTGTTCGTTTTATTGTGTTTGCAGGCGACGTAGACGAGGAGGGGCGCGGCGGGTAGCAGATGACGACAATCAAGCCACCGCCTCTGCATGCGGGATGGTAACTACTTCGTTCTGTGGACGCCGCGGTCATCTTTTAGCCAGCCGGTCAGCAGGGCGCGAAGCCATGCACAGATGGGCTATGGAGCACTGGTCTGAATGCTTCCGCAGTGGATGAGAGTCAAGGCTTTAGCTGGTCGGTGGCCACTTGTGCGTCGAATGACAGACAGGCACTTCTAGTGTTGTCGTGTCTCGCCTCCTCTTATCTGCATGGGTGTGCGTCTCCAAGGAGCATACCCATGCATCTGAGGAGGGGCCGGGGGAAGGCCTAGGCAGGTCAGTCAAGATGAGGAGACACAAAGACTGTTGGTTTTTGCGTGTGTTTTGGAGATGATGCCTGCCTTCCATGAATGAATATGGGGTGGCAATTGTGGGGTGGTCTCTTTCTGTGCGTGAGAGTGTATGAGATTTGTGTGTGATAATGTTCGAGTGTCTCCCTGTCTCATTCGTGTGTGCCTTTGTCTCTCTCTCTGTCTGTCTGTCTGTCTGTCTGTCTGTATGTGTGTGTGTGTGTGTTGGGATGGGCCTGTAGCCAGCCAATTTTCCACTGACTTGTCACGTCTCTCTCTCTCTCTCTGTGTGTGTGTGTGTGTGTGTGTGCCTATCGATCCCTTGCGCCTTCGCATCATGCAGCCCTCTGTGCTCTTGCCTGTCTATTCAGCGAATCTTGAGAACTTCGAGAGTTTGATCCTTCCATCAGGTCTGTCTGCGCAGGCAGGCACACGAAGGTGCACGGACACACGGGGACAAACAGACTCAACCATAAAAAGCCGCCACAGACCTAATCTAAATGTATGCAGCGATAAAACAAGAAGGCCACAGATGTGCACTACGCCTCTCTAGACATCACTGGAGGGGACGGAGAGAGAGAACACACACACAGCCTGAGGAAAGACCAAAAACGCATCCACCCACCAAACACAAAATTGGTCCGTCCACAGCGGGGGGGCTCATTGCTCCAGTCGCCCATGGGTGGCGTAGACACGCCCTGTTATGTGCTCCTTATGCAGGTCGTCATGCGTGACGCCGTGACCTAATCATCCCTTTTCGTTTTGAGGGATGATGACGTTCAGGTTTGTGGCTGTGATATTCCTCGTTGGTGTGACGAGGAGATCGAAGGGCCTAGCGCAGGCGACTTACTTGAGCTCCTTGAGACACCATATCAATTGCACCAGATATTGCTTTTTCTGTATGTGTCTCTGAATGTATGCGTTTCGGTGTCTAGTCTTCCATTTATATAAATTCGTCATCCCTGGTCATGCACGTGCGGACGGGCCACGCATACAGACAAACAGACAGACAGGCAGTCGAAAGGCGGAAGGGATCTGGGGGTGTGGGCAAATCCGCCAACACCTTCACCCCACCAGCCAGTGATGGTGCGGCAGATCTATCACTGCTTATTAGCGGAACACCATCAGACTGGCAGCTAAAGATCAGATAGACAGACAAACAGACAGCGCCCGTCATCACACCATCACGAAAGCGAGAAAAAAGAAAAAAAAACGCCCGGCTGCTTCAGAGAGAAATCACTCTAATGGCATCCGCTGCAATCCGACGCCCATGTTTCCTGCAAACAAAACACACAAAAATCACCGCATAACTCAGTCTCAATCTATTGGTCTCAATTGAAGAGTTGTGGTACATATATTTCGTTTATCCGATCACACCTTTACTGTTGAAAAACGCTTGTGTCGTGAGTTGGAGTCCTGTCTCATTTTTGGTAAGCTCGATGAAGTGTTCGAAGAGGAGGCTTTTAGTTTGATCTTTTTTGAGGAAACAGAGATCCACTGGGAGGCTTTTCTGGGGCAAACATACCGTGCCCCGGAAAAGTGGGTCCTCACACTTGCATGGATGGCCCTCGAAGAAAGACTGAAAAACAGACCGCCCGTGGGCCACATGAATGCTCGTTCATTCAATGATCACATACCGGAACGTTGTTGACGACGGTCATACCGCCCTGTTGCACATTACAGCCACACACACACACACACACACACGCACACAGAGAGAGACAAAGTTGCAGAAAGAGAGAGGGAGAAGAAGGTTTCATGGAGAGAAAGGCGAATCGTTGCCGCACTCCTAGCATATATTACCGGGGCGAGGAGCGAATGCATGTTTTGCCAGAAAGACGTCTTGATCTTGTACTTCGGCAGTACGTACTTTTTCATGTCTGCGTCTGAGATCCTCGTGTTATTCAACTGATACGGCATGATATTCCAGAAGAGGTCCTGCCAACTATCAATACGAGAAGAAACATTACATAGGTGCAATGTCTATTTTACTCAGTCTCAGACCTGAGGGCAGTATACAAGTACGATGAGCTTGAAGTGGTTGAGTGGCAGTCCGAGTTTCGAGTTGGCAGATTTCACCTGCATGCATTCATGGGAGAGAGATGTTCAGTCAAAGTGTGGGCACTGTTTTTTGACCCGATAGTACACCCACCTGCTGAGTTTTAGTGAGGTCGAGCTGCCAGAAGTCGGGCAGGGGGAATCTCTCCAGGTCAGACCAGGTAAACTCATCACCATATCTCGATGATGATTTGTCCCAGTCTGATGAGCGAGTTCGCATATCGATATTCATATGAGGGTACAGGTCAACTCACCGAATGCTCACCGTTAGCATCTTTGACGACGTCGTTGTCTGCCGTCTCAAACTGCACCACTTTCTCGTCTGCCGAGTATGCCCTCAGCCTGCGCGGCAGCTTCACATTCCCGTCCCAGTCGATGAACGCAACCGACTTGAGAAGATCCTCAACGTTCCTGTGGACAACGCATTGGAGACGCATCCGAGTGCATGCAAAGCATGTCAACACGCACGGTAACACGCACACGGAGCATACCCAACATGCAGAGGAGGGGTGAGTTTCTTGAAGAGATACTGCAGCTCCCTTTGCTCCCCCTTCGGGAGGCCGGACTCCATGTCATACTCTGCATGTTGCCCGAGGCCGTGAATGGGCGCGTGGCATCCTGCACATCAAAAGCATTCAATTGAAAGCATTGCATGCATGCATGACCGAAGCCGATGGAATGGCTGTTTGCTCGCACCGAGTAGAATATCAGGAACATCATCCGTGCGAAGAGAAGTGTGCTGGTGAAGGAAGCCGTCACGGCGGCCGGCGTTGGCAATGCTCATGCCGAAGGAGACATCGTGGCGCCAGCCCAGAGTCACCGGAAGGCAGCCCAGCAATGTCAGCACGTGGAAGGACGCCAAAACAACACAATGATGGGGCGACATCGTGACGAAAGGCTGCTTTAAACGAGGAGAGACTTGAACTACGACTTGAAGCTTCTTTTCAATGTCTCTTTTCACAGCTCGCGTGGGGGCGTCTCGACTTTTCCGCCGGAGCCGTTTGCGGCTTCCTGTACAGGACGAAGACGTCTGGGGCGTGACACGTCAGAAGAAGGCGGCACTTTGGATGCCATGTTCGGGTGCTACAGTGTGGCGGCTGCCTTTCCACAGGAGGCAAACAGGAGGTTTTCCTGGTCTCGGTGGTTGTGGCGCAATGCCTGATCATCCGACTCTTCCCCTGGCTGCTTTATCGCTGTGCTGTGCTGTGCTGTTGGGTGTGTGGTGCCTACCTGCATCTTCTCGTACCAATTGTAAAGCGAATGGATGGATGGATGGATGGATGGATGAAGGAGAACGATTGGATGACGCTCACTATCACACACCAGCTACACGGATGGACGGCAGATAAAAGAGATGACGGGCACATGCACTGCTCTTCCTTGAATGAGCCGCAATGCATATTCTTTGCTCCGACTGTCTTGCCATCAGTTGACTAAGTAAGTACTTAATCATCCTGTCTGTACATGTGTTTCACTGCGAGCGTCACCGCCAGCCACTGCACCCGCCTCTCCCACACACAGGCGTGCCAACTCCTCTCAGATGCACCACTGCAGGTAGGCAGGAAGGAAGGCGGAAAGAGAGGGGGAGGGGAGGGGGCGCAAGAACCATCCAAGAACTAGACAAACCGAAAAACCGACCTTCAGTCACTCTCGCACGCCTTGGCGGCCTACCCATCCATCCATCCATCCATGCATCCATCTACCCAGCTACACTGTCACTCACTCCCTCACATACTGACTTGCCTATTATTCACTGGCTTGTGTGGCGGCTCACGCCGCCCAGCCGCTTGCCAATCCATCTCTGGATGACCCCGCTGCCCAGCAGCACACCCAGCCCAAACGCCGCAGCCAGGCACACGTCCCAGACAATGAAGTCCCGGAACGGCCCGTCGCGCAGGAACCTGTCGTAGTAGATGATGCGTTTCCGCCGCTTGCGTGGCAGTGGCGGCTTGTCGCCCTTGCTCTCGGCCTCGCGCTTCATCTTGACCTCCTGCGCGTAGCCCTCGAGCACCGCGATGCAGGTGCGGTCCGGAAACAGATCTGCTGGGTTGGTGCGCCGCCTGCTCACCTGCAGAGCAAAGAGGAGACAAACAAGGTGGGGCGGGGTCTTTTCTGTCGGTTCTCTGTTCACTCACCGGCGACTGGCCGTAGTGGCACAGGTATGCAAATATGGCGGAGTAGTCGTACACGCGGCCCCCTGTAGAAGAGAAACCAAGCACGTGCGCATGCGCACACACATCTGACATGCGTGTGGCTTGGCAGAGATTGACTTACGTGGAGTGATCACGGGCGTCTTGGGAATCTGATCAGGCACACACACCACAACACAACGCGAAAAGAGAGGGGCTGTTGACCCCATTCATTGCCCTGCTCTTCTGCTCCCTACACAGTGGTTGATGGAACACGTGGGTATCCTGCATGCCACATAGAGGGGCAAGAGAAACCACCACTCAACAAAGAGTGACGCCGCGGCCTCTCCGCCTGTGTGTGGCCCACCAGTCGGGCAGTTCGTTGTATGGAATCGACTCCAGTACCTCGTAATGCGAATCGTCTGGCAGAAGCGAAAAAACCGTCATGAGGAGCTCCTCTCTTGTCCTATTCGTGTGCTTGGTGCTCTACTGTGGTCACTCACCGACAGACGGGAAGTGTTGTGGCCCGTTCATGCTTGCAGGGCTGCGGCAAGTTGTCTCGACAAGAGCCCATGAGTAGTCAGTGTGTGGCAGGTCGCTTGGCAAAGGCACTGCATGCTTTCCGCCCATGCCTCTGCCATCCCTCTTTTCCCTTTCTGCGCGAGCTTTCAAAGTTGAGCTCGCCTTTCAAAACCTTTTTTCAGATCTCCACCGTCCCTGTTGTGCGAAAAGGCCGGTGAGGACCTTTCCTGTAGTTAGCTGAATAGAGGATCTGCTGGGCGGTAAGTCCCAGAGTAAGAGTGCTTTT